TATGGAAAGCGAACTTGCCATTAATCCGTCGCTTGAGTCAGAGCTGGTGTGGTGACCCGCGTGATGCTGGGTTCAAGTCGAGGATCGACTACCGCCTAGGCCAGCCAAGCCTTCCATCCTCCAGAGTCGGTGAATTGGTACCAGGCTCGTCTGGGAGGGAACTGACTGACTTGTCTATCTATCCTTTTTTTGTTCGCTCAGAGGAAGTAACCTATTCTTCGGATATGGGACAAACGTCCCCAGACCTCACTCCCATTTCTGAGCTGCTGGTAAAGTCGAGCACTCCCACCATTTGTTTTTGACGGAGTTGGACTTAAGCCGTTTTATGGCTGACAATGTAGAGTTCGAATGTGACGTCTTTTGTCTCAAAAGACAAGCTGTTGTGAAAACAACAATGGACAGCTGTCAGTGAAAGTGCGTTTCAGAAAATGAGTCCTGAATGATTCGAGCTTGTAGAACGCTGCCTGAAACTTGACAGCATCGCTTCAGAATACTCTTGAAGAATTCCGTGAATATAATTTCTTTCAAAACAAAAGCTATGTGCCAAAGTTCAAACGCTCATTGCAACGAATGCAACGCTCTTCTTCGAATGGGGCAGATTCACGGGAGAAAAGTTCAGACGGTTAAGAACAAAAAAAGTGATAGCACGTGCTCTTCGAGAAAGGCCACCTTCGTGGCTGCTGTGCAGCGCGTTCCTTGAAATCTTGTCGTGCAGACAGCAGTAGGAATGTATTATTTTCAAATTTTCTTCTAACATTGAAGCGTTTCTTTGGCGTAAGCGCACGGCTACAGCTAAGAAACGTTGCTACCTTCAATAGTGTACATAAATAAAAGAAAAGCGGACCATCGGGAGTTCCACGCAGGGCACGCCATTGCGTTGTGATCATTTCCTGAAAAATACGACCCCCCTGATTCTATCCTCAAATACGACCCCCCTCCCCATGCTACCTACCACTTTCCTAGATTTTCCCAACTTCCTACCACTTTTTCCATTCCAAAAAATTTCCAGTTTTTCAGCCAAGAATTTCGTCGAGCGAGCGGTTGAGGGGGGTGGAGGGGCGGCGGGGGAGGGCGGCGGGGGGTATATACCCACCGTGAAACAGGAAAAATTCTCAGTTTTCCCCTAACCTCCACCTGTTTTTCCTTCCTTCCCTCGAAACCAAAATTTCCTTATGCTTTTTCCCAAATTTCTGTTGAAGCGGGGGGGGGGGGGAGGTCGTCAAGTTTTAACTATCATATCTAATATCGGAAACAGTAATTGTATAGATCTTTGGCAGTCCCTCTCTAAACAACGGCCAAATACGACATCCCCCATAGCCATCCGTGAAACAAGAGAAATCAACTACCAAAAAATTTTCTCGGACCAAATACGACCCACCACTCCCTCGCAGTCAAATACGACCCCGTTGTGATCATCACAACGATGGCGTGCCCTGGTTGCACGCAGAGAGGACGAACTTGACGCGCGTGAAAATCCGACACGGGTTTCTTCCCAACCCACTACCTTACAAAGCATCTTGACCGCATAAGAAGTTCTGATTGCCCCTAACTGCCATCGAAAAAATGCTGTCATTCGGAAAGGGCCTTTTGTTCGCTACACCAAGAGAGTGGCCCATTTTCGGAAATTCTCTCGGTGAGCAACTGTGATGTTTGAGCACGTAGTGGCAATAAGGCAAAAGAGGCATCACTTGTCACCTTGTCACGCGTAACCATCAGAGATATCTGTTCGCTACGAGCTGTCCTTATGATCGCTAAGGGGAATTTCATATGCAATCTGAAGTGTCATTTTTGCCTTAAGACTTTTGATACAACTTCCCCACTCCCTCGAGGTTGAAAAGAGATGTCAACTTGTTAGTAATTATATTAAGAATAAAGGAAAAAATCTGAAATTTGAAGACCTAAAATTCCTTAGTCAGGCATAGGGAGTGAGAGGAAGGGACGTTTTAGTCGTGCTTGTCAAAGTGCTGGCCCACCTCGTTAAAACCTGCGACCCCTTGCCTTTCGAGTTTTGTGAGATCTTACAAAATCATGTAGAACCCCGAAATGATACGGGCTTACTTCACATTGGATTTATTGTTTGTTCTTCTAACGTGAAACGGTATTCACTGCCGGAAGGCAGGTGAAGAAAGTGCGAAAAAATGACCGTGAGCCAGGTTATGGGCTTTTTTGCCCAAGAGTGAGGATAAGAAGCAAAGAGGCAGGTGGATCAGTTTTTTACTAATTTGGTAGCGCTTTGTAGCTTTTCAACAATTCACAAAATGCCACTCTCCCTCAATACGCCAAACTGTACGGCACTAGACAGATGAACGCGCTTTCAATATGAGCCATGCGTTCTATCTCCGCTCAGGATCGCAGTGGTATTCTGAACATGATTTGGCTTATACAGACTGGCGAAAAGTTGCGTGCTGCTTGGCTGCGTTTTGCTTACTTAAAGACAGCGCCCGCGATGGACTTTGGCAGGTCTCAGGGGTCAAATTTGTTAGAACAGGTGGCCAATGAAGCACTAATCAAAAAAAGTAGGAAAAAGGTGTGGAAGAGCGTGAAATAAGACCCTACGAAATTTAAGGCATGTGGACGAGTTTCGCAGACCTTTGGTGAGTTCTCCAATACACGTCGCCGGCCTCGGAACTCCAGAAACTTAGCGTTTATCAATGCCAGCAAGCACTGATAACTGTTAACCAGTCGGGGCGGGATTAACAGGGAAGGAGGCGTCAGCTCAGCCTTGTTGACTCCGCCCTCGTCAATCAATACATTTCGAGCCGCAAGAGTGGGATATCCGCTATGGTTGCGAACTCCGCGTTCGTTTTCATTGGAGGGTTTTTTCACTTTGGTTGATCGCGGACGCTGCCTTTAAGGCAGTTGACAGATAAATCCCCCAAGACGAGTAGGATCAATACGCCTGGCGGAACGAAATCCCCTGAGAGGCGCTGCATAATGCCTTTTCCACAGAAGCTACCCTTATAAGGGCCCTATCAAGCCACAACATACCGACCCAAACGCCCGCCACGCCGCCCGCCCACAAATGGACGACCGTTCCTGACGCTCTAATCGATTCATTTGCTAAGCAAATTATGAAGCGAAGGGATTGGTATGAAGCGGCCGTGATGCTGCATGGATATGGTACATATATGCAGCCGTACCTTCGGTAGCGGTTATTGGCAAGATGCCTACAGGAAACTCGTCCAAAATTGATTCCTAACACATCGAGAACGGAGGCTCTTTCTTCTACAGCGCCCTACTAGCATTTTAGGCTAAGTAGGAAACCGTCGTGCCAACTGCCTTCGAAAGTCAGTTGGCTCGATAATTTGGGTGCTCGGCCTAAAATGCTAGCAGGGCGCTATACAGTGGTGAAATAGAAAAAAATAAAATGGTCAAAAATCTGCAAAGAAAAGCTTCCGTTGTTAATGACTGGAGCAATACCGGACGAGTTTCCCACAGGCATCTTGCCAATAACCGCTACGGTAGATACGGCTGCACGTATGTACTCATATATCCATGCAGCACCGCAGCCGCTTCATATTTTACTTAGCAAATGAAGCAATACGAGCATCAGGTACGGTCGTCCATTTGTGGGCGGGCGGGCGTGGTGGGCGTTCGGGTCGGTATGTTGTGGCTTGATAGGGCCTTATAAGGGTACCTTCCTTGGAAAAGGCGCTACGCAGCGCCTGCTCAGGGGCGCGGAATTCTGTCCTGCCAGGCATATTAATCCTACTCGTCTCAAGAGTTTATCGTGCGAGCTGCCTTTAAAGCAATTCTGTATGCTTGCTGAGATTAAAATATTTCATTTGGGAAACTTCGATAGAATAACTTTATCTTCCAACAGAATCAGATTTCGATCCATAAACTCAAAACAGCTATTCACTTCCTTTTGACCGAAATCGATTCCTATGGGGGACCTTATAACGGCCCGGATCTGGGTCCAGGCTTGCATGTGTAAGGTGTGATGAAGCAGCAACTGAGGAGCCAAACATCAAACCTCTGATGACGTTCAAAATTCTTTGCTTCCAAAATGAGACGGTGGATTTAGACGTTAGCTATGAACTTCCGCCGCACTATTAACTACACTCCTTATCCCTGAGCCAGAGTAGGCGTGGCATTTGAACATGGCACGGAATTGGTTACTCGTGGAATATTCCAGTCTGGGACAACTGTCATCTTGTTCTGTGTTGGACAGAGACACGACAACAATTGTGTCAAGATGAAAATATCTCACCAGAAGCATAGACACCTTCAGGTTAAGTTGAAGCATGCGGCCACGCCTACCCGATCTCAGGGATTTCGAGTATACATCTGGTATCAAAACTGATGACAGTAACCCCGAAAACTCTATATAATTGCAACCGCCCTGTTTCACCTTTAATAGCAACAATTTTTCCGAAAGCATGTGAGCAAAAAAAAATTAAGATTTAGAAATTTTTAATGGAATACGGGGCGCTGATGATCGACGGGGGCATTGCTTTTCATAGATTTGCCAAACCATCTAGGTACCAAACCATCTAGGTACGAAGAAGAAAGAGTATAAACAATATAAAAAAATTTTTGTGAAAACTTTTGGATTCTTTTGAATCTTTTGAGTCTTTCGCAATAAATTTTGGCGCCTCTTTTATGTGTTCAACATCTAGGTACCCTTTTTTCGAGTTGACACGTTTTAGGATGGTGGCTAGACGATCTTGCTCCAGCTTCACAAGCGTTCACAAGTTTTACCAGAGTGAGATTTGAGAACCAGGGAAGCAATTACAATAGAAAATGCCCCCCGTCGATGAACAGGGCCGGAATGCAGTTTTTTCCCCACCCTGTATACGCCGGCGGTGGTAGCGCATAATTGCTGCGAACAATGTCCATGGTGTTCGTTCGCTGACAGGTTTTCTGATGATCCCTTTTCTTTAGATTTCCACACTGCTTGCAGTGAAGCAGTTCAACGAATTTGAAGTAACAAAGATTTCGAGGACGAGGATGAAAATCCAAACAAAGCTGGAAGCGGTTTTGTGAGAGCGAAACCTTTGTCATGAGATGTGGCTACGTTCAGAGACGGGAAAGGGAGAAACCAACCAGGAGCATGAAATTTCGTAGAGTTTATGATTTATTGACGCTTACACGCAACTTGCGTCATGAGTAGAACTGAAAAAAGGAAAACATTCAACTATGACGCAAGGAAAGCAGCCACATTTCCTCGCTTCGGAGGCATACAAAAAACTCTATACTACTAAATAGAATGCATGTAAATCTATAAGGTAACTCCTAGGAATAAATGGGTTTCGAACCATTTGCCCACTTGTCCTACAGCTCAGGAGAAATAAAGCTGTCGCACGAAAAGTCGCCGGGGATCAATGTAGGTCAGCTCCTGAGAAAATTCCAACAACAGGCAACAGGGGCTGAAGTGTAACAATCTGGGATTAGGAGAGATTTGATTTCACAGAAGGTCAGCCTGAGCAATCAGGGTACAGCCTCGTGATGTGTGAATGGTGGTGTCAGTACTACCCCCTCCCTCCAGGGAGGGTTTCGGTACGAGCCACCCCCCCCTTCCCCAGCACCTACCTACCATTTTTCCATTTATATTTTTTCAGCCCACAATTCGTTGAGCCGCGGGGAGAGGGGGGTATAGCCAGTTGGAAGGGGAAATTCCTTAGATTTTCCCCAACTTTCTACCACTTTTTCCGGAATTTTCCAGAAGTTTTCCTACTCTTCCCCAAATATCTTGCTGTCGAGGGGGGGGCGTAATATAGTACAAACATACATAATACATAGCATAGTACAATACAACCGAGACAAGTTTTTTCTCAACACGGCGAAATTCTCTCTAAGGCACATACGCCCCCAGCCTCCCCAACAACGACCAAATACGACCCCCCCCCCAGCGGCAGTAATGTACGACCCTCCCCATGTGTTTCGCACAAGGATGCTGTACCCCGTGGGCAACACAAATGACCGTAATTATTCCGCAGTAGGCTAAAAATGTTTCCTCTCCGATCTGAATATGAATTTTAGGCGTGAAGTTGGGCTGGGATTCCCAAGTAAACCAGTTAAAATAATCTCTATCTGTTGACCTTCTTCGGGGAACTGTGATTTCTGTCTGTCATGAAGGATAGTAAAAACGTTGACAAGTCCCTGTTCCTGCATGAGAAGTACCTGACGGAGCATGAGTTAGGGCGAAGTTATCTACTAGATAATGGAAAAACGAAAGCAGTCCCATGTCCAATCCTGCCAGTAGAAGACCAGTAGAAGACCTGGAACTTGGTTAGAAAAAGGGTCAACACTTGGCGCTACCCATGAATCTATACTCAAATGGTGGGAGGCTAACCAAGTATGTCGGTATCAATAAAAAAATATAGATCGCAAAACACATTTGTCCATGAAAATTTGGAAAAAATGTTGCTGATAGCTAATCGAAAAGCGCTGGAGGGCATTGGAAGAACTTTGAAGCCGAACAAGTTGTTTACTCTTCAAAATCTGCCATCAAGTCTGCTTTAAGAACAGGCTTTTCAGGAACTCTTGAGAGGGTTCCTTTAATCCCCCCACTCCTATCCAAGATGTTTATGTGGGCTGTGCATGTCCGTGAAAAGACCAAGAAACATGGCGAGCTCAATTTATTCTCTGTGAAGACCACTGGCACATCCATAATTCAAACGTTCTTAGGAATTATGCGATGAGCACAATTTATTCCATCTCAACGGCGCTAAGTTAGTGAAATGGGTACAACTTTTGTGGAAAAAGTATCTCCAGAGATTCTGGTGAACTTGGGCTCATTGAGCTCTGGGTATATTTTGCCCACAAATGACCCAGATAACTGGATCGACAGTTTTATGAGTGAAATGGTCCAACCTGACAAACTGTTTGTCCTCGTAAATGGATACGGACTGAAGTTTGGCGGCGATGACGGCCATCGAGGCGACCAGACAGGCGATGGACATCACCAGCTGCACCAGAAGGCATGTCCATGTCAACGACCGCGTCGACACCATCGCTTCTTCGCGGCAACGACGACGTCAAACTGGCCGCTCTTCAGCGTCGGTAGATTCGATTTTACTAAACAGATAACAAACTTTTCTCCCACTTCTTCAGCCATGCCAAATCAATACATAAGCGACGGAACTCCGTTAAAATATCAAATCAACAAGTGGAGAAAAGTTCGAGAAGGAAGTGAAGTGGAGTATCAATTTAATGCAGACACACCAGAATATGTGAAACCTTCATCACCGTAAAAAAAACTTGGAACAAGGCATTTCGAAACAATTTCGTAAGAACTCCTTCGGATTATGCCGGATGATTTTGTTTTCAAAGCTAATATGCCAGAGAAACGGAACTACTATTATAACCCCAAACACGTATCGAATTAAAATGTATGAGAATAGGAACTAAAAGGGCAAAGTCTACGCCGTCAGTCAATCCCTTTGTGGGATGCGGCACGCATTCTACTGCCATTCAGAATCGCAGTGGCTTACTGAGTGACCAGTCGGCTCGCCGGCTGGCGCCAGCGCGCCTCCTTCCATGTTACGAAGAAGGTAAGCGCGGGCAGGGCTACGCCGCGCTTATTTTTTCCACATGTTTATATAGCCAACTGGGTGATACTTGGCCTATACCCTGACTTGCGGGGGCCAGCCGATGCAGAAGTCAGTGTTCTTGTCCTCCCAGACGAATCTGCTACCAATTTGCCGTCCCCGCAAGGTAGAAGGCTTGGCTGTCCTGGACGGGACTCGACCCGGGATTCGAACCCGAGAAAGGCGCTAGTGGTAAGCGCGTCACTTGTCACCAAACCACCTCCGCATCGAGAATAGGAAGTACTTTAAGAACCACTAGTCGCTAGGTTACCCTTCAGTACAAAGGAAAGCAGAAAAAACCATCCACGGAAAGGGTGTACTCAAAGGCAAGTGGCACAATAAATCCTTATGCTTAGCAGGACAGCTTGGCGCCCTGGCAGGCGCTGAGTGGTCAAATGTAGACCATACCTGATGCTCGCGATATGGAGCGGCTGCGGTGCTGTATGACCATCACGACTGTATTTCACTGCAACATGGCAGAAGATGCATTTTTGTGGAATGCATTTCTTCGAGACAACTAGCATGTTGTCATGTGGTGAACAAAAACGAATATCTAGCCACGCCCTCTCCCATCTGTGGGATAGGAAAGTTGGCAAGTATAATTTTTCTTCAACGATCCCGCCCGCTGTTCGTGCAACTTTTCGCATGATCGGCGGTTTTTTCAAATTTTCCTTATTTTTTCTTTTTTTATACAATTGACCCTCGTGGGAAAGCTCCGACTACTTCTGCCTTACACATTCGATAAATACCAGAAAGCTGTCAGATTAATCTTGTTCCCTAAACAACAGGATGATGAGTGACAGAACGAAAATGCTGTCAAAAAGTTCTTCGGCATTCTGAAATGCAGAACAAAAGACAAGGAAACAACAAAAACAACAACTGAAATGAGACGTAGCAGAAAGAAAATGCCGAGCCATAACAATGAGAATGGAGAAAGGAAATGAGTGAGTGAAGAAATGAGTGTCATGATAAAACAGCTTTTGACGCTGTTTGGGTTGGGAGGGGGTGGGGGCAGTTTGCACTTTCGCACGATCCCTTTGCTAATTAATGTTGAATAACAGGTTACACTTCGCTGATAAAGGGTCACTACGATCACGGGAATTAACAGGTGTCCTAGACTAGCTTCACTAAGCCCTATTTGGTGCCCCACTTAACCAAACTGGGATCATTTTCTCAGAAAATGAGTGGATGCATTAATGCATTGATTTCATCTGAACATACATGGATAAGATTTATTTCAGCTCTCAATTCTCACAAATTCCATTTAGTAATGCTGATTGTTGTTGATTTATGGTGCATTCAAAAGAAGCGCTATACTATTGCAGCTACAGTCGTTTTCGCTGCAAACGCTGGGGCATGTCAAGGGAAGGTGCTGGATTCAGCGCTGCGCCATCCGGTTTTAAACCCATTTTTGTCGCTTATCAACTTCAACATTTAGTGGAGAACAAGCTGGTGCCCCGCCAAGCCGGGGTACGTATGCAGCAAGAGAATCGCAATTCGCCGCGTCATTGGGCCTCGCGTGCGACGTCGCGTCCCCCATGACGACGATTATTGGTGGTATTTGTCGACAATCAACAAAGTATGACCAGAAATAGACATATGTGTCTACCTTGTCCTTGTCTACATTGAATCCGATGCTCCAATCGAAAGGTAGCGCAAACTAAGGAAACGTCGCGCCCAATTGCCGCGCGCGACGAAGCGGCAATTTACGATTCGGCACTATTTACCCTTTACTGCCCCAGCCATCCGAAATCGGTTTCTGACGCGACTTTTTCTCCGTAGGCCAGTTCCTGACCGACTTTTTTCTCCGTGGGCAGAATTTGCTGAAAACTTGGCTCCAGGGGTAGTTCGACCCGCTGAACACGAATATCGCATCCGCTTGACCCGAAACCTCCTGGCGCCCGCACCACGGGCACCGGCGCCAAAATACCCCAATCATTGGCGCCTGTGGCGCGGGCGCCAGGAAGTTTCGGGCTGAGCGAATGTGATATTCGTATTCTGGAGGTCAAACCCCAGGAGACAATATTTGAGCAAAATATGCCCACGGAGAAAAAAGTCGGTCAGGAACTGGCCTGATTTCGGATGACTGGGGCAGTAAAGGGTAAATAGTGCCAGGATTCTCCTGGCTATCTCCCAGCCAAGCCCAACCCTCCTTCTCACACGCCCCAGCGCTTGCATCGAAAAACCGATTGCATACAATGACTTGCTGACAGAGAAAATTGAGCCCATAGAATAAAGAGAAGAACACAAAGAAAAGTGAAGTTCCACAAATTCTTCCCTGGCCCATTTCAAGCGCTTGAGGCACATGTGCCATCCCTTATGCGGACAAATCGATGGCATCTGATGTGCCGCACCTCAGACATTTTCTCACCTCTATGGACATTCCGTGGTGATTTGTTGAATGAATAAATGAAAATACAACGAAACTCTATGTAGCAGTAGAGGAAGCATGCAACGGGAAAGGAGATTTGGGAAAGATGACCCAGAGCTTGCTGGAGGCTACTCAATCGAATGCATGCAGAACGAAAGAAGACTCAGGGAAAAGAGAACCGGATTTAGCAGCAGCAGCGATGATCACGGTCTTAAGTAACCATTTGTCGTTTACTTGAAATCTGAAAACTTCAGACGGATATTACAGCCTTGTTCGCTGAAAACGCTAGGGCCTGTATAGAGGGGGGGAAGAGAGGCTGAGCTTGGCGGAACGGGTGCTCATTTCCACCGCCTCTGGTCGCTTGCATGTGCCACGCCCCACCTGGCCCCCTGACACGCCCCAGCATCCGCAGCGAACGAGAATGGACTTCTTTTGATTGTGTGCAGATTTAAAAGTTCCTCGTTTACTTGAAAGGCAAATGTATTACGTCGAAAAATCGTAAACTAATGATCATAAATTCCTTAGTTTTTTCGTAGTACATGATCACCGCAGATTCTTCGGAGATTGCCGATTTTTCCAGAGATCAGCACTTCCATATATAAAACAGAAGTGTCAGCACCCTCTGTACCACCATCCTTTATCATTTCCTCCCAACTAGGACCGAACAGTGGCCTTCATAGCCGTAATCGCGGCTGATTTCAGTGAGGTAAAGAGGATGTATTTTTTCTGCATAGCTGCCCTTAGCGAAAGCGCTGAGGGAACTATTGGCGGAAAGCATGCAGGAAATCAAACATTTTCAGCAGGAAATCGAATCTTTTTGAAGACTTCACCGGGAACGAACTGCTCGCCGTATTTGAACGTGAACTTCTGCAATTTCGCTGCAGAGCTCAAAGGCGAGAAATACAATTTACCCCCTTTTGCAAGCATACACAGCTTAGGGAGGAAATTTGTTTATGTAGCAGAATAAAGGAGGACATTCCGAACGAATCAAAGCCGCTTGGTGATACAAATGGCATCTTTTCATTCAAAATAACTGAAAATTAATGCGTTGTTGATGATGAGAGTGGGGGAGGAAGAGGCGAAAAGAAGATTCTGCTCTTGAGTTCTTCGCGAAAGTTTTCGGACAGGGCGACAAGGTACGAAACCCTTGGGTTTGGGGGATCAGAGGTATTTCCCCAGTTGTTCCTCTGTGAGCACGAACAAGTTTTAATCGGTGTCTCTACCGTAGCAAAATGGTGAACCCATCGCTAACAAGCCCAAGATGGCCGACAGTTGTTACCCATGCTAGTCAGTCGCGCGCAGGTATCTGGAGGCTTTACAGCACAGCTATGGTCCATGATTCCTATGGGAATCCGTACCATTAAATGAACTTGTGAGATTTTACGCTCATTCTCGGTATCTTTTCATTTGAAAGATACGACCCTCATCTGACGCGCAGTCCTGCAAGCAAGCATGCTACTTTTGCAGCTCAGGAATGCATGAAGAATGCGCGACCCACTCACGACGAGGCCACAGCTCCGCCCACTGGTCATGACAATGCCCAATATTCATTCTTGACTGTCACCTGATGGTCAGGTTGTTCCTCTAGAACTGTCTCCATTGCTAATGATGTGTGTGAGGTGATAAGCAGAATGAGTTGACACCAACAAGTGAGCGCTCGTCCGACCACGCCCTTCTTCGCCATGTGCACGTACAGGAGCGATTCACGGTTCTATGTGGGCATTTTGAGCGGGTTTTTCCTTTTGTTTTTTTTTCGTTACTCCTGTGTTACCTTGCCATTAGCATTTGAGCAGCGCAACTTACCTGTTTTTAAACCATAGGTTGCCATAAACATATCACAGAGTGGTCAAAAGCAAGTGGCACGATAACTTCCAGGATAATACGACTAGCAGGACAGAGTTCGGTGCCCCTGGGTAGCTCTCCAACAAAATCTCCCTCCCCCTATCAAGCTGCAACATGCCAACCCGGACGCCCACTGCAACCGTCCGCCCACAATTGATCTCGCAGTCATATCGACGCTGATACACTGCTTCATTTATGAAGTGCAACTGAT